CAAAAGACACACACACACACATATACAGCATACTGTTATTCGCACACCATTTAATCGGCTATATTTAGGCACAAAAAGGTAAAGAAGAGTGTCGTTTTGTTAAAACCTGAAATTGGGTTTCTTCAGGGTTTCATCTCTGCCGGCAGCAGCGGCGGCGGGTGCTCCCTGGTGGAACGAAGCCGGCGGCGCTTCCAGATCTCCGGAACCCGATTTCCCGATCATCGGAAACAGATTCATAGTCTCCACCGGAGAAACTGCTTAATTAATTTCCACAAATTTAAGCACCGAAATCCAGCAAAAAAATCAGAAACTAAATCCAGCAGCCCAAAACCAGAAAGGAAAATCAATAAATCAAACCAAAAATGAAAAAAAAAATAAATAAATAAAAATTTAACCCCACCTTTGTTTTCCGGGGACTGAGTGAGGCCAAGCTGAAGGTCCCCAAAACTTCCATTCTTCTTCAAATACTGGCTCAAAAGGGTACACATCTGGGAGAAATTAGACCTCCCGCTTGAAAGCCTGCGGGAGTCTACAATCTCAGCGGAACCCATTTTTTCTTCTCCGGCGACCGGAAAAATAAATCAGGCAACTCAAAACAGATAGATGAACGGCGGCGAGGTGTGTTTTTGCTTCTACAAATCAATTTGAGAATTGAGTAATGGGGGCAAAGGGTTATTAGAATTACATATTATATAATAATAATAATAATAATAATGTAATTTATGTGGGGTTGAGAAAGGGACAGGCACCAGAAAAAATTATTTATTTATTTATTTTAAATGAGAAAAGAAAATAAGAAAAAAGGGGGAAAATTAAAATAAGCACGAGGAATATATGTTTGTAATTAGTAAAAATAAATAAATAAAGAAATAAAAAAGAGAGTAAAAGTAGGTGGTATGCCAAACAGGGAGTCTCATTTACTATGACTTTTTTTGAGGGGACTGAGAGTCATTGAGAGGCTTTGTTTAAAGTTGGCAACAAACACGTGTTTTTTTTGGGGGGGCAAAAAAGGTAAAAGCGAGAAATGGACGTTGCGTGTAGCTTTGCAACTTTGTTAAAGAGCCCAAGATTCACGCCGTTTGCACCCACCTTTAATTTGCTCACGATACGGCGTTTATTAAACTCCTTTTAATTATTATTATTATTATTATTATTATTATTATTATTATTATTATTATTTGCGTTTATTAAACTCTTTTTAATTATTATTATTATTATTATTATTTATTGTAACTAGCTAGTAGTTATCCACGTGAAAGATATTTGATGCATGAGTGCAACGTGTCCTAATTTTTTGATTGCATGTGAAAATTCTATTATGTGTCCAATTAGTTTTTTTTTTTTAAGTTGAAAATTTGTATTTTTTATTTAATATTTGAAGGTAAGGAGACAAATATGTAAACTATAATACTACCTCCTATTTTTAATATATGTCATTTTGAGAAGTTGCACACTAATTAAGAATATTTTTTTTGTCAATAATAATCTTATTTAATGAAGATAGAGATGAATGTTTTGAGAAAAAAGTGAAGAGTGAATATGAAAAGACAGTAATGTATTTATTGGCTAAATGAAGGTAATATTGGAATAATATGTACAAAAGATCCAAAATGACATTTATTTGCCAAATAGTTGAAAAGGCTAGGATGACATTTAAAAAAAATAGGAGGGAGTATTATACTTCGTAATCTATATTTTACATATTCATAAACAAAATTTTAACTAACAATTGATTTAGTTAAGAAAATTAATTCATATAAATTGCCCGCCGTGGGTTCCCCGACCTCATAGTCGTCGGGGTCGAGTTCGCAACTTCAAATCACGACCAACATCCAATTAACTTTGTCGGACGTCGACTAACTTTACTCCCATGGCTGACTTCACAGTCGGACGACCTCACCTTCTTCGAGCCCAACTTAATCACTAAGCACAACCGAGCTCCTAAATCCCGATAGTCGAGTTGAAATGTACAGATCTAGAGTTACACCAACTTCGCGATCGACTAGCCTCCAGGACGGTCCTTTCATCAACCTCAATAAACAACCCATCGGTTAGCCGTCGGGACCCGACTTCACAATAGTCAATCTTCATACTGGAATACGGCCTAACCAGGGCCTGACCTCGCCATCTGCCGACGAGATTTAACGCTACGGCAGCCGGCCAGCACCACCGGCGCCGATGTTCCGACCCGTTGCCGCCTGCGAAAAGACCGCCGGCCATCTCAGGGTCCTTCGAGCGATGCACTCCGGGCTTGAATCTCGTTTTGCTGATACCAATTAGGGTGACAAGCAAAATTCGTCACCAAAGAGCGGGCCTTCGCTTTTCGCCAAATTCGTCTATCACAAATCGGGATTGGAAAATTGTTCCCTCACCGCCATTAGTCAGAGTGATTTGAGCATAGCACCTGCCCCGATCGGTGAAACCTCGGCCAAATTGTCAGGCCACACGCCAACAGATCTCAGGGAGTTTTCGTCTTATTTTGCTTTACCAAGGCGATACCCAATTTGTTAGGTTGACATACTTGGTATTTTGATAAGTAAATTTATTTACATAATATGCCGATAAGATTGTTTACAGTCACCGTGTCCCGGTCCACCGGGTTGATGACATCCCTGAAATGAGTTCAGGAATGATTATTATGTTAAACCCGGTCGATGGATTAATTTCTAACATAATAATAAAGAATTGACTGGTACTATTTTTGGTTCAAGAAATTGATTAATTATGTTGTCATTAATTAAATTAATCAATAGACATTATATCTTAAATATGAGGACGTAAATCGAGAAATTAGTCAGTAGACGAATTAATTATAATTCAGAGCTAAATGGGGAGTGCATTAATATTACTCTAGTGGAATTATATGTTATTTATTCAAATAAGGAACATGTATAGACATAAGGTCTTCAAGAATGTTAACAGGTTGAAAGAGTAGATATGGCCTTCTCGATTGTTTACAAGTTGAAAGACATAAGGTCTTTATTCTTATTTGAAAAGACCATATTTAGCACGTTCTTAGGGTCCCTGTTGTAGCCTATAAATACACCAATTTCCCTAGCCTCCAAGATGAGTGATTCACACGAATAATTAAACCTGAATCCAAACGCCCAAAATCAGATTTCTACTCGTCCAAAATAACGTGTGGAATAGAGTTCTTCTCTTTGAAAAATTTTGATAAAACCGAGAGGTCTTAGGAGATAAAAATCAAGAGGCCTTGGAAGTTCCATTTAATCGCTCCACCAAGATTGTTTAGATAAGGTGTAAAGGTCATACAATAGAAGATCCCAAGGTTCTGAGACGAAGCCTGTAAGTACACCCCTTTCCCCTCATATTAAGTTAATTCTCACTTATCGCCCAACTGTGATGAAGAACAATAGTACATTAGTAGAGTCCCATGTGCGAATGCAATTGGCAGTTTGATGTATACGATGGTGTGTATAAGGCCCGACATTTCACAAGCAGTTGATGTTGTTAGCATATGCATGAAAAGGCATTGGTAAACTGTGAAATAGATTCTACGGTACATTCATAATACTATAGATGTTGGATTAGTTTATGAGCATGATGCAATTGGTTAGTGTGTAGTTGGATATTGTGATTCTGACTACGTGGGCGATTTGTATAAGTGAAGATCAACGACGGGATATTTGTTCACTCTTGCAAATTAGTCCAGTCAGTTGGAAGTCTACTTTACAACCAACAATTGCTTTGTGTAAAACAATGACAGAGTATATGACGGTTACTGAAGCTGTGAAGTAGGTTATATATTTGGCTTCAAAATTTGCTTGAAGACTTGGGAGTTGGTCAAAAGCACGTCGTAGTGCATCATGACAGTGAAAGTGCTATCCACTTAGCGAAAAATCAAGTATTTCATGCAAGAATGAAACATATTGATGTCGCTGTCACTTTGTGCGGGAGATTCTAGAAGACGAAAATGTCATGTTGAAGAAGATCGAGACGACGGAGAACCCTGCAGATATGATGACCAAGGTAGTGACAACAGTCAAGTTTGAACATTGTTTAGACTTGACCAATATTTGAGTTGGCGCCTAGAGGCGCATTTGGAAGCACCGCCAGCAGTTAAGTTAAATTGAAGAGTCAGCGTGGGAGCAAAAATTAGTCAAGGTGGAGAACTGTTAGATTTTTATTAATTTGTTGTCCCACATCAGATGTGTACCAAAGATGTATAGAATATTTTTAGTATAAATAGGTCTGTTGCATTTGGGTTACAATTGTTCCTTATTCTATTTTGTGATATTTTAGAAGGAAATCATTAATTAAGAAAATTCTAATTCGTGGGTTATTTAACCATAGTTGTATTTTGTTGGTGGGTTTAGTTAGGGGTGGGATTTTTTACCCGAGAACCGGAGAACCGAATCGGATTGAATCGAAAATAACCGATTCAGTCCAGTTATTACAAAAAACATTTTTTTGGGTTCCGGTTGTTTTGGCACAAACCGGTTCTGGTTCCCGGTTTCTTTCCAAATGGATGTTATTAACCAAGGAACTGACTATATATATGAAATATGCATGTTTTATATGTTTATATATATGAATCGGTTCCCGTTCTTGATATGTAATACTACATTCCTCATTTTTGCATTTCGGTTCTCGGTTTTTTCATGATATTTTTAGTTCACGAGTTACAATATTTTGACCGTTTCTTAAGTCAAAATCGGTTATTGTCGGTTACTTTTCATTATTCGGTTACCCAAAGAACCAGAAAAAACAAACTGTTTATAACGGTTTGGCTCTTTTTCGGTCTCTGCGGATAATTATGTGTTAACCGAATCGAGCCTTTTGTTTCGGATCCGGTTCCACTTCTTGAAAAATATGTTAAGAACTGAACCGGTCCCCAGACCTAGGTTTTGTAAATTCGGCGTTGCGATTGTCGGTGCCCGGAGACGTAGACAATATTGGCCGAACTCCACTATCTATTTTGCGTGGTCTTATTCTTTCTCGTCTTTTATTTATTTGTGTTGGCTTATTTTCGTTCGTAGTAGTGCTTTTAATATTTGTTGCAGGGGTATTTTTATCCGTTGCGCTTGTTGTTATACCCCCAACAACATTATATATATGCATTTTTTAATTACTTCCTCGACTCTTAGTTTGTCTCAAAGCAGGATTTGTTACAAACATAACATGTGAATGAATGACTATTCTCGGCTAAATTTCAACTACTGACTTAGTCATCGGCAATATTTGCCGTCAGGCATAGTTGGGGGGAGGGGACCACACGCCTTAGACTCCGTGCGCCCATGGATTGTATCCATTAACATGTGATATGGCTGTTGAGAGAAAGCTGATCGACTAAAAATCAACCCATTAGCATGTGCTAGCCACATTACCTTTTAAGGAATACAAATTTTTATATAAGACGGTCTAATTGTCCGATCAACGCGTTATATATTTTCGATAAAAATATATACTTATACTGTAAAATGTTGAAATTTTGTTTATATTGTTTTCAAAATATGACGATCATTTTGAAAATAAATACATCTGTTTACAACGCATACTTGTCTAACGATTAAATTTGTCTAACACAATC